TCACCGCCTGTTCGCCGCTCATCCAATGGTCCGCGGAAGAGCCCCATCTCCAAACCCGGCCCTAAGGCCGTCATCCGCCGCTCCTCGACTGGCAAGGACGGCAAGATCATCCCCGGCGAGAAAAAGGTCGGCCGCCGGCGCGGACCCTTGTTGCCCGAGCAGCGCAAGCAAGCCAGTGAGATCCGCAAGCTGCGTGCCTGCCTCCGCTGCAAGTTCCTCAAGAAGACCTGCGACAAGGGCGAGCCGTGTGCTGGCTGCCAGCCTTCTCATGCTCGTCTCTGGCAGGTGCCATGCACGCGTATTGACATCAAGGATGTTGGCTTCTTCATGAAGGACTGGAAAGCCGACTACGAGCGCCACCTGGACCTCGGCATGTCCGTTTTCAATGTCAAGGGTTTCTCCAAGAAGGAGTCGCTGATGTGGATCACCCACGGCTACGGCTTCTGCCTCCCCATCATGGTGCGCGAGGTCCACGTCGCCGACGAGAGCTGCTTCCAGGTCGACTGGGTTGAGTCGTGTCTGACAGACCAGGAGCCCATTGACTTTGGTATCCGCACCGATAAGCTCGATGTTGGTGAGGAGGGCATCAGCGTGGAGAAGCTGTCGGCCTACCTCGACCGCCACATCGACGGCACCTTTGAGAACTTTGTTGACGATCACTTTGAGGGCACGCCATTTGTGACGGAGATCCTCAAGACGGCTCACCGCTACTACATGAAGGAGGGCCTGCCTGTTATTGGCAAGGCGCTCAAGCTGGTGCTGGCCTACAACCTGACCATGCATATCACGCTCGTTGAGCAGCAGGGTTCCGAGGTGCCCATGGAGGGTCAGATTGACGACGAGGACTCCAAGTTCTTCGGCAAGGTTGTTGCGCCCGTCATGATCAATTTCCAGATCAAGTGCGCCATGGCCGACATGTGGCGTGAGCTGCAAAAGGAGATCCTGGAGGAGCTCTCGAGCCTCTACTCGCGTGTCTACAGCGGCGACCGCCTCAAGAATTGGCCCACCATTTTCATGCTTGCTGCCATCCTTTTGGTGGTCTGGGAGGAGATGCAGTTCGACTGCCACTACCGCGTGCCCGACCAGAACTCCGTGCAAAAGTTCTGCGGCGAGATGGAGTCGACACCTGTCGGTGTCATTGTCGGCCTCTTCCACGCCATCTCCCAAAAGCTGCCCTCGTTCACCGACTGGGATACCGAGAAACACGGCCAGGTCCTCAACAACAACGACGCCGTATGCAATGTCATGACCGAGATGCGCGAACACATTATCAAGCACGACACCTACCTGCGCGAGCGCCAGGTGAAGACCGAGTTTGACCGCCACGACTTTGACTGCTTGTCCAACAAGTTCCTGTCCAAGCTGGTGATCCGGGCCAACTAAACAACGGACCCCAATGTCTGTCTCCTATTTTGTGCTCACGACCTTGCAACTTTTCGCTTTTACTGTGTTTGCTTCCAGCTATGACAACCCAATGTCTACGACGATTTATGATACCACATTTGTTTTTTTGATGTTGCCAGTGTGCGCACATCATTCTTATAACAATAAGCCGGTCTTCGACATTTGATTACATTTTTAAGACTTTCTATTTTCTCTTCCCTTATCAGATTTCTTTTGTCGTTTTATTTGCTTGTTCATGATCATTCAGCGATGGCGTTTTCCGTTTTCATGTTACAGAGCCTGTTGAACTTTCACACATATTCGACACCTAGCAAGCAGGTTTCTTTGTTCTTGTCAGCCTGTTTTACATTCCCCCTTTCTACAACTTTGACCGCCACGCAAAGCATTGGCCGTCTTGTGATGTGCTCGACGAAAACATAACGAATCAGATTATGGAACGAATAATCTGGATGTCTTCGCGCCGGAACGCTTTGCCACGTTTTAACGCCTTTATTTGATCGATTTCTGAATGATGGTTGTTTTTACCTTGTTGTTTTTACCTTTTATTTTGTTGATAGCGTGTTTTTTTGTTCTCTTTTATTTTCTCTTTTTCTTCCTCGACGTTCTTCATGACAATGATTTGAAGGCAACAAAATGATGTATGAGCCCGAAACGATAACGTCCTCTTATTGAATCTATTTCTGTTTACTTTCCTGCAAATTTCCCTACTATCTTCGTTTTTAAATACTACTTGCCTTTTCCTTTGTTCACTACTCTGCTGCTTCTCTTTGCGTGCTCTTTAACGCGGTGGAAAAACGACGTGACTGACAACGTGATTGCTTTTTCAACGCTTGTGCTCCTTTTGCTGCGTGTCAATGCTTAGCTCCGCGACTACATCTGCATTGTCATTTTCATGTTTCGTACGAGAGTGTCGCGATCGGCGGCGTGGTGGATGACTCCTTCACTTTGTTTTGACGAGCGAGGTCCGGGATTGTGTTTCCTTTCCATCTCAAGAACATACAGGAAGTGACTTGCATTTCTCTCATAGAGCGTTAGACGAGAGTCACAGATGGGCTTCGAGAGATTCTTTGCTTGTATTTACGACATTACGATTATGAATTTACGTAAACTTCTCATATCCCGAAAAATCTTTTTAACAGTGGCATTAGTCCTCATTGTAGACGCCATTTTCATGCAGTCCATGACTCCATAGATGTTCCCTGCAACCCCAGAAGGATAGTCAGGAACGTGCTATGGGAGTGGCAAACTGGGCGGGACCAGCCTCCATACTATACTGGGTTTGATCTGCTTGTACTACAAAGACAACGTGGAAACAAAAGAGATAAACGGATCTTGACTTCAAGCTCGTTCCTTCGACAAAAGCGGTTTACTATTGATGATCTCATCCAATTTGACAAGGGGGCTTGGCAAAACGCCTGTTATAAAGCTTACGGCGAGATTGAGAGTTTACAAATCGCAAGTACTGGTCACTAATCTGCAAAAATATTCAAAGGGCCGAAGAAAATGGAGCATCAACGTATCATTGGCACACAGTGAAACTGTTCTTTCATTTAAAAAAACATGCACAGGTTCGTGATACAGAGAGCCGAGCACGGCACGCGTGGTAAGACACGCGAACGGGCCGGCCGCTTGTCAAGAAATCTGCGCGGTTTTACGTCCGAAAATGCCCTATGACGTCGTTTCTCCCCCATCCCTGTCGTGTTGCATAATTGCGAAATTTTGTAGGCATCATTTTCCGTGAAAAAGACGAAGAATTGAACGCTACGAGACGTCCAGCCCAGCGCGACGTTTATGAGAATGGTAAATGGTCTGAGACAAGTGGATGCTTGCTACTCAAGTCTCTCAATACAGGTTTATACGTCTTGTTTGTGTAATTGCAGAAAGCCATTCGCTGGTCAACCGAGCCACAATAGAAGTTGCCTCCGGCGCCTAAAAGAAACGAAGGAAACGAAAAGTAAACAAAAGCGACTTCGGAGATGACGACGAAGATATGATGAGAAAAGAGGCAAGGAAAAGTAAAATTCGAAATCAAACTTGCGTCGGCAAGCACTTCCGAAGAGGCGCAAGGGCTTGCCGACCGACGTGGGTAAAAATGAGAAGCAAATGTGTTGTGATGCGAACCGTTGTGTGGCTGGTCAAACACTGGACCAGGTTCAGGCTTGTTCGCAGGCCGTGTCCAGGCTGCGGGCAGTGCTAACAAAAGTGTAAAAGGCACAGCCTACGCCAATTGAGCAACCAGCTGACAGGACTTAGGTGTCCCTTTTAGGCCTTAGCGAGGCGCAAGGAACTGCCCGCACGCCAAACTGGTATGGCCACGGAGCAAGCCGGGCCAAACGTGTCGCTTTCCCAGCCAAAAAGCACGCCTTCCTCAATGGGCTTCACCGGAGGAGACGAAAGCAAACGGAAGGATGTCATGATCTGCCGCAAATTTTCACCTCGCATTCCTCGACATACCACCCTTCAATTCGCGGTGACTGCCGGACCCGAGCACACGAGAAAATCTTTTCGTTGCCTGTGAAGCACAAGATTGGCCTCGTCCGCGTGACGACTCACCGGCGAAAAGACGAAATCGGCTGACGAGGCCGAGACAGGGCAGACAGTTCGCCCAGGCCCTCTACAGAATATTCTTGGGTGTCCATCTCCGTAATGCCTATCTTGCGTTGTTTCCAGCCAACCCTGTCAATTCTAGGAACCGTTGGGTGTTGAGTATTGGCGTTTTGGCGTGGGCCTCACTGTCTGCCTTTCGCTTGGGCCTGGCCAACAGCCATTGATCTAGTGGAGAGACCCGACAGAGCGAAGGCTGGACAGCAAAATGCCTGTAACTGAGAGGGTCACAGTGAGAGACTGCCGCATTCTTACTAGCGCATCTGGTAGTGGGTACTTCGTGTCGTCATATGTTGCAGGGGAATACTGGGGTAGGTGCGACAATGAAGACGAGAGAGTCGCCGTGGGAGGAAAGTGATTCACAGGGGCGTCGGCGGCCCAGAACAAAAGCGGGCTCCACTACATGCCAGCACCTTCTATCGGTCGGCTGCCTCGTTTAACGCATTATGATTGGCTCAGCCACCATATTGATAAAGAGAATAGTGGGTCTTTCCTCGAAACGGTCTGGCCAGGCTGCGCTGCGCCCCTCTTTTCCAGCCTGCCTTTACACAGTAATTAGTTGCTTGCGGCGTCCGCGGCGTTGCCGCCGTCTTTGGCCTTCTTTACCTGCCATTTCTGCTGAGAAAGCAGGCGAAAGCGTCAGGCGGCTCTCGCCCCATTCCCTTCCGATTGCACCCAAGCCAGCCACCACAACCCCCTCGTTTTGTTCCAACGCCTGCCCATTCACTTCGCCTCCGGCCCTTCCACGCCCCCTCTTCCGTCCCTCGCTCCTTCCCCTCCTGTTTCGCAACCTATATTTAAGACCTCGTGTTTCGCCTCTTGTCACCATTTCATTTCCCTCCTTCTCTTCTTTTTTATTTTCCCATTCACACATCCAACTCTTCACCATTCATCGACGACTCGCGCGACCATCTCTCTGATCGTCTTTCTTACCTCCTCAACTCATCAACTACCCACCCAGACACATACAACCGAACTACAGATCCGTCACCATGCAGATCTTTGTCAAGACCCTTACCGGCAAGACCATCACCCTTGAGGTCGAGTCGTCGGATACCATCGACAACGTCAAGTCCAAGATTCAGGACAAGGAGGGCATTCCCCCAGACCAACAGCGCCTGATTTTCGCGGGCAAGCAGCTGGAAGACGGTCGCACCCTCAGCGACTACAATATCCAGAAGGAGAGCACCCTACATCTCGTCCTCCGTCTCCGCGGTGGTATGCAGATCTTCGTCAAGACCCTCACTGGCAAGACGATTACGTTGGAGGTCGAGTCCTCGGACACCATCGACAACGTCAAGAGCAAGATCCAGGACAAGGAGGGCATTCCCCCAGACCAGCAGCGTCTGATTTTCGCGGGCAAGCAGCTGGAGGATGGTCGCACCTTGAGCGACTACAACATCCAGAAGGAGTCGACGCTCCACCTGGTGCTGCGTCTGCGCGGTGGTATGCAGATTTTCGTCAAGACCCTGACAGGCAAGACGATTACCCTCGAGGTGGAGAGCAGCGACACCATCGACAATGTCAAGAGCAAGATTCAGGACAAGGAGGGCATCCCGCCTGACCAGCAGCGCCTGATCTTTGCCGGCAAGCAGCTTGAGGATGGCCGTACTCTTTCGGATTACAACATCCAGAAGGAGTCCACCCTGCATCTGGTGCTGCGTCTGCGTGGTGGCATGCAAATCTTCGTCAAGACCCTGACGGGCAAGACGATCACTCTGGAGGTAGAGTCGTCCGACACCATTGACAACGTGAAGTCCAAGATCCAGGACAAGGAGGGCATCCCGCCTGACCAGCAGCGCCTGATCTTTGCCGGCAAGCAGCTTGAGGATGGCCGTACGCTGTCCGACTACAACATCCAGAAGGAGTCGACTCTCCATCTGGTTCTGCGTCTGCGCGGTGGCCAGTAAGCGGCGGGTGGAAGACTTCGTTCTTAGTTAGCTTTCTTCTGTTTGATTTAGATATCCCGATGACGAACTGACAGTTCAGCACCTTTACTGCACTTTCCTTTCTTCAATGAAACATTATCCCATTCGACACGCTCCATTAGCGGTCGGAACACTCAAAACTACCTTTCCATTGCACTGTACAAGTGAAAACTAAAATCGTAGCAAATTACCGTATCCAATACTACAATTGTTGCCTTCCGTTGACTCACCGTGACACGAAAAGCGGATTCTCAGTGGAGAGCGGTCGGTGGAGTTCCGTGGCCGAGTCCAAAGGCGCCGTAGTTGTTTGTGGCAAGGCTGCCAAGATGCCTACGGGGACTGGACATAGAACGGTATGCCCTCTCACGTGCTTGTAGAGCGAGGAATTCAGGCTCAGACAAATTACTACAAACGCGAGGCTCTCCGAGCCTCCGTAATGAATCCGCGGCGGGTGGCAGTTTGAATGACCACACTATCTTCTTTGGGCAGTTGCGATCGCCACCGGTTTGCCCCATTGCGCCTTCCTTGCCTCTGACAAAGGAGGCCTGGAATCCACTAGAGTCACTGTATCTTATCGTACGCAGCGCCTCTCTAGCGGGGCAGCCTTTCCCCACGTGCAACTATCGATAGACTCGCGGCTTTTCCTTGACTATTTTCCCAAAAGCTGATAGCTCAAGCTTCGTCGCCATTAACAAGCGGACTGACAACCCTCCCACTTTGACAACTACGACGGCAGACCTAGCCGCACGGGGGAACGCCAACGTGCAACGAAGCAGACATGCGAAAGGCTGACCGTCCTCCTCTTCTTTTCTGCGCCGTGTACCTGCATCGTGCTCACCGATTCTCCCACAACTGGAAGGGCCCCAGCGGCCACCGAGAACAACGACCTCTTCGAACCATCACTTCCGCTCCGAGCCGATCCCCATGCCTTCTTCCCACGCCTACCACTTGACCTTTGAACTCTACCCGACGCCTGATCCGAGGGCTGCACCTGGCGAGGCAGCACTACCGCCCAACATTTGGCGTCCTGGACTGGGCGCAAGCATCTTTGACGACCTCCCGTGGCACGCGACAGCAGAAACCACCGAGGAAGACGGTAACGGCGGTGTCGACAAGAGGACAGCGACAGAGGACGACATTCTCGCTGCTCTGCCCGAACGGAACAAGAATGACAGCCGAGACGGCATAGGAAGAAGCGGCTTCAGCACCAACTCAGACCACAGCGAAAACGACGGGCCATCGAAACAAAAGACAAACACGATAAACTACGCAAGGACACCGAGACAAAGACATACAGCCGGACTGGGCCCAGAGACAGCCGCGCGTGACTGGCGCTTTGGGCGCGTGCGCATCGCGAGCTTCGATATGGAGACGCCGCAAGACGGAGCAACTGTTGGGGTTGGAGAATCACAAACAGATGGCAACCACAACGACAAGCCAATACCGGCTGCGTCACTGGGGCCCGTGCTCGGCGGGGCTGGCCAGTCGACACGCGGCCGCTACAATCCACTGGCCACGAAGGTCACCGATGCCGGCTGGGGCATCGTACACCTGTATCGCGAGGGCGGATCGACGTACTTGAGCGAGGATGCCGACGAGTACGGCGGCGACGGCAGTGACGGCAGCGACGGTACCATTCTGTGCATCCCGGCCGTGCCCAGCTACATCACGCCGCGCGATTTCTTGGGGTTTGTTGGCGAGACCTGGAGCCGGGACGTCAGCCATTACCGCATGATCCTGACCAGCCGCACCAACCGCTACATGGTCCTGATCAAGTTCCGTGACAGCAAACACGCCAAATCCTGGCGCGCCGCCTTTGACGGCCGCGTCCTCAACAGCATGGAGTCCGAGATCTGCCATGTGGCGTTTGTCAAGTCGATTGCCATTGAGACGCCGGACTCGCTTGGCATTCGGGAGCGGCAGATGCAGAACGCCGATGGCTCCACACATACAACCAAGGTGACGGCCGTGGCGCACGGCGGGACACAGCCCCACTCAAAAGCCGACGACACCCGGCCGAGCTTACCACCGCACCGACTGAGCCACAGCGGCAAGGAGCCTGCGTCACTCAACTCGCTGCGGCCACACCCACCGCCGACAGCCAACCTGATTGAGCTTCCGACGTGTCCGGTATGCCTCGAGCGCATGGACGACACGGCAGGCATCATGACCATCTTGTGCCAGCACGTCTTCCACTGCACCTGCCTGCAGACGTGGAAGGGCTCGGGCTGCCCCGTGTGTCGCGCCACCAACCCGTCACAGTTGAGCACGGCACTCGTGGGCCCCGGCGGCAGCTCCAGCAAAATTGCCAGCGGCGGCGAGGCAGGCCCTTCATCGTCCGGCTCTACGAACCCCTACGATCCATCCAACCCGTATTCCCAACCATTTGCCGCTGGCGGCGTGTCCAACTTGTGCTCGGTGTGCGACTGCGCGGACGACCTGTGGATCTGCCTGATTTGCGGCAATGTCGGCTGCGGCCGCTACAAGGGCGGGCACGCCAAGGAGCACTGGAAGGACACCATGCACTCGTTCAGCCTCGAACTCGAGACGCAGCATGTCTGGGACTATGCAGGTGACATGTGGGTGCACCGCCTGATCCGCGACAAGGGCGACGGTAAGGTTGTCGAGTTACCCGGGCGCAGCCGTGGGCGGAACAGAAGGCGAGGCGGAAATCGTCAAGGCGGCGATGACCATGGAAACGAAGCGGGCGAAGGACAGCATGGCCGGCGCCCACGCAACGGGCGCCGACAGCAAGACGACGACGACTACAATGATCGTGATCACGAATACGACGATGATGCCGACGACGACGACGACGAAGAAGACGAAGAAGTCGTGCCGCGCGCCAAGCTCGACCGCATTGGGCTCGAGTACACCCACCTGCTCACCAGCCAGCTCGAGAGCCAGCGGGTGTACTTTGAAGAACTGGTCAACAAGGCAGCCGACAAGGCCAGCAAAGCCGCCGCCGCCGCCGAGTCCGCCGCCGCCCAGACCATCGAGGCCCTGCGGGAACTCGCGTCCCTGCGCGCCGCCCACACGACGCTGGCCGAATCGACGGTCCCCGCCCTCGAGCGCGACGTCGAGCGCGAGCGCCGCCGTGCCGACAAGGCTGCCGAGCTTGCGCGCGGACTGAGCAAGTCGCTGCAGGATGAGAAGCGCGTCTCGGAGGGCCTCATGGTGCGCATCAAGCATGTCCAGGAACAGGCCGCCACCCAGCAGCAGCAGCTGGCGGCCGCGCAGGCCGAGGCGGCCGAGCTCCGGGAGACAAACCGGGACCTGACCATGTTTATCTCTGGCCAGGAGAAGCTGCGCGAGCTGGAGGCAGAGGGTCAAGTTGCTGCGGGCGAAGTTGAGGCCGGAACCGCCAGTGTGCCAGAGGAGAAGAAGGGCAAGAACAAGGGCAAGGGACGGCGGCGGTAGGCCGTGCAACAGAGAAGTGTATGTTGGTATTGTCTTTTATTGGATACACCTGAGGCGTTAAGGAAGGTTTTTTATTTTTCAGTTTTTAATAATGACTTGCATGTATTATAAGTTTCATTTTATTCTCCCCTTGTGTTGTTGAAGTGAGTTTACTCTCTCGCTTCACATCTCCATCGATGGGTGGGGCCAATGTGGGCTCTTTCACATGTTGAAGCATCAGTCACGTCACATTGCTGAAATTGTCAATAAAAACGCGTTACGGGGTATATCCAGCCGAGCTCCTTTCACTTAGTAAAAAGCAACTACTTTCTCTTGTGACAATACGGCATGAGGGCATTGCCTTGCAGAAGGTAGTCTGCGTTGGATCTCGGGCCACAGGCGCGTCCAAGGACCACTCGTTACTATTTCAAACGAATGGGATTGTCTTGCTCTACCTGTGGAGGTGTAATAGAGTTTCACAAGGAGACCTTTTCGCATTGATTTGCAGTTGTCAAGTTGGACTTTTTTAAAACATAATGTTCACGGTTTATTTTCTTGTCGGAGTTGGCGATGAATCGAAGGAGAACGCCAGATCCTCTAGCTCGTAATCTCGGGCCGTTTCTTCTTCTGAATTTCCCCAGTCCAAATTCTTTTCGTGTGATATCAAATTTGATTTTTTTAGCAATGCTGGAACTGCATAGTGTACCATTTTTGATGTACCAATTTTGATCATTCCAGTTACGACGTACTGCCTTGCATGCCTCTCGGCCGTTGCTTCCTAGCCTTTTGCCTTTCTTTTGATAGTAGATACGAGGACAACCCCGGCCTTTGCCTCAATTACGCGTGCTGACAGACGTAAAGAATGCACCTGTGAATTATTGAATTACCTTTTGAGGTTTATCCAACAGCGAAGAGAAGTTTTGTGGCTGCGCTCCTTGCTCCTGCCAGAGTGAGACAGTGCAGGCCAAAGAAACGAAACAAAACAAACACAACACTTCCACGGAGAGCTCTTTCCGTCTGCAGCGCAAGCCTTGCGAGAATTCATTAAAAACGTAATCGTTCCTTCCCCCGTTACGGTGTTGCCATTCCTGCCCCGCAACATGGTCTCGCCAGAGTTCTTGCCTGGCTTGCCTGCCAATGGCGGTTCGTATCGCTGGCGTGTGATAATTTCGACGCCTGCGGTTTGCGCCTTCTCCCTGGACCCCGGATCGTGCTGTCGAAAACAAGCCGTCTGGACACTTGCGAGTGCACAGCTTTTTCCATTTCGAGTCCGTCCTCATATTTTTTGCTTCGTTTTCCAATTTTGGGTTGGCAACTGCCAATTCTCGGCTAGCCAGGCTGTCGATGGAACCCCACAGTTGGTTGACGCCACTTGTCTCGCTCCTGCTGTTTTACTCCAGACTTTCATGTTCACTGGTTTTGGGTTCTTACTCTTCTGAACCCCGTATCTCGGTTGGTTTCTTTTTTTTTTTTTTTTTTTTGTCTGCCTCCCCAGGCTATCTTGTGAAGTTCAATCAAAAATTTTCAGACGCTTTCCTACTGCTCATCCCCGTTAGCCATTCTCCATCTCTCCATCCTCCACTGATTCTCCCTGTGCTGCTAGCCCCGAGAGTGCTGGACTCCGGGGAAAAGCGGAGTGCCAGTGGCCATACAGCGAGAGAAAGCGCGAGCGTTGCCTAGCCCATATGAGGTGCTGTTCCCAAACGCTTACTCTCGGGGCCCTTGGAGCTGTCAACTATCTGTCACTGATAGGACCCTTTATTTATTGATAAAAGCAGTCGTTTACCTGTCCTGTGTGTTGTTTTTTTGCCCTTTTATTTTACGCTCGCGCTAGCCGATTTTCCTGTTCTCTCCCGTCCCTCCCATCCCTCCTGCCTCCCCCGGCAAAACAGGAATCCCAACCACACAGCTATGTGATAACGTCACTTTCTGGCACCTTGTCCTGTTTATTTTGGGTGCTTTTGTCTCACCACCTCTTTCACGCAGACACAGTATTCGTCGCTGCCGCATAGAGGCTACGGTGGACAGGCCAACCGAACGGAGTTTTTGCTGCGCCCGTTTGCCGGTCGCCTGTCGCAGCTTATATACTATCGAGGCCTTCCACCTCTGGAGCTGCTACAAGAGCTCTTCGTTCCCCAACAAAATAAGGGCCTTACTTGCCACACAACGCAACAACCACCAAACTCAAACTTCGGATCCGGCAAAGCTGGACAAGGCGACGTCAAGGTTCCAGCATCGAAAACCAGATTTATTGTCGATACGAAGAGCGTCGAGTCGACGATACTTCTCCTCTGAAGCCGCTACTGCGACCCCCATCCTATAGTCGAGCGATAAGAACCCCCGCGGCCACCATGGCACAGGACGAAGCGAGCGTCGCCGTCGCCGCCATGGCATCGGCACCGAACCAACAACGCTACCAGAAGGAGAAAAGGGGCAAGGATGAAGAGGAAGGCGGCCAGAAGATCGTGACACAGGCCGGCAAGGACACAGAGAGCGAGTCTCCCGCGAAACCCGAGAAGGAGCTGTATCCCATGAGCAAGTGGAAGTACGACACCTTCTTGTGGACCATGTCCGTCCTCGTCGACCTTTTCTTCCGCGAAGTCCATCCCCGCGGTTCCTGGAAGGTCCCCCGCCAGGGCCCTGTGCTCTTTGTCGCCGCACCTCACGCCAACCAATTCGTCGACGCCCTTATCCTGCAGCGCACCCTGCGCACCGAGTCCAAGCGTCGCGTGTCCCTTCTTGTGGCCCAAAAGTCCGTCCACGGATTTATAGGCTGGGCCTCGCGCCAGGTCGGTTCTGTTCCCGTCGGCCGTGCCCAAGACTCGGCCAAACCCGTCAACGGCACCATCTACTTGCCGGACCCGATCGGCGATCCTACTCTACTCCACGGCGTGGGCACCAACTTCGAGAAAGACGCCGCAGTAAACGGCATGGTGTTCCTCCCGGCCGTTAAGGGTCAGAGCGGGTCGAGCGTCGATATTGCAGAAATCCTGGGCCCCGACAAGCTGCGCCTAAAACGTCCCTTTTCCGGCCGCGCGGCAATGACCCAGCTGACGGGCCGCGATTCGAGCGAGATGGACGACGAGGGCCAGTTCATCGACAAGGAGGCCATCAAGAAGTCGGGCGGTCCGGTACCGGGTTACCAGGGCACGAAGTTCAAGCTCGCACCGCACATTGATCAGACCAAGGTCTATCACGCAGTTTTCAACCGGCTGCGCAATGGGGGCTGTGTCGGCATCTTCCCGGAGGGTGGTAGCCATGATCGTCCTGGGCTGCTGCCGCTCAAGGCAGGTGTGGCCATCATGGCGCTGGGTACGCTTGCCGACTCGCCGGATTGTGGTCTCAAGATTGTGCCTGTCGGCATGAACTACTTCCACGCGCACAAGTTCCGGTCGCGGGCCGTCGTCGAGTTTGGCCCGCCGTTTGAGGTTCCCAGCGAGCTGGTGGCCATGTACAAGGCCGGGCAGCGGCGCGATGCCGTGGCCCAGCTGCTCGACACTGTGCATCATGCACTGGGTGCTGTGACGGTGTCGACGCCCGACTACGACACGCTGATGATGATCCAGGCAGCCCGCCGCCTGTACAACCCGACCGGCAAGAAGCTTCCGCTGCCCGTGGTCGTCGAGCTGAACCGCCGCCTCGCCATGGGCTTCGACAAGTACAAGGACGACGAGCGTCTGCGCAAGGTGCAGGCTGCCGTCAAAGACTACAACAAGCAGCTGCGGTACCTGAACATCCGCGACCACCAGGTCAACTACGCACGCATGCCGTGGTGGAAGGTTGTGGCGCTGTTTATCTTCCGTCTTGGCCAGCTGTTTGTGCTCTCTATTGCTGTGCTGCCAGGTCTGCTCTTGTTCTCGCCCATCTTCGTGGCCACGAAGCTGTACAGTCGTCGGAAGGCCGCCGAGGCCCTTGCAGGCTCGTCTGTCAAGATCCAGGGCCGCGACGTCATGGCCACCTGGAAGCTGCTCGTGTCGATGGCGCTGGCACCACTCCTGTACAACTTCTACTGCGTGCTCTTCGTCATCAAGTTTGGTTCTGATCGGCTGTGGGGCTACGTGCCGGCTTGGGCGGCGGAGGCGCCCTGGTGGCTCGTGTTCCTGACGGGCTGGATCGTGTTCCCCGCCATTACATTTGCTTCTCTTCGCTTCGGTGAGGTCGGCATGGACATAGTGAAGTCCCTTCGTCCCCTCATTCTGTGCATGAACCCGTCGTCCAGCTACAACATCCATCGCCTGCGCGAACGGCGCGCTGGCCTGCAGAAGCAGGTGACGGACCTCATCAACACCCTCGGCCCCGAGATGTACCCCGACTTTGACCAGAAGCGCCTTGTCAAGATGCCGCTGGCAGGCAGCGGCGCGTCGTCCGACGACCTGCCGCACTCGGCCTCCCCAGCCATATCCATGTCGCCCCAGGGCCCGCCCTCTCCGACGGTGGCAACGCCTGGCCCCCATGTATCTTATCCGGCTGCGACCAAGGATGGCCGCCGCCGCACGGATAGCGACCACTCGACCGGCAGCGGAGCGGGTGGCTCCGGCGCCTCGGGCACATTGTACGGCCGTGCCATCCCGCACAACGAGTCGTTCAGCAACATTGGCCAGATTGGCATCTTTGCGACGCGGCCGTCATCGCGGTCTCGTTCGCGGTCACGCAGCAGCAGCAGCGGCGGTGCTTTTGGCTCGGGTGGTTTCCCTGTGAGCGCCTTTACAACGCTGGACTCGAAGGAGGGCTTTGACGAGGCGTCCAAGAAGATCCGCGCGGCGATGCGCGAGCGGGGCGAGTTGCGGCGGCGACAGAGCCAGACGACGCATGGGTTCACCCTGATCCAAGACGACGAGGACGAGGAGAGCGACGATAGCGAGACTGCGAAGAAGAATGTGTAGGGATGGGGCAGGGGAAACAAAAAAGTCTGCGCGTGCGAGTTTGATTTATTTGTGGATGTGTCTTGAAATGTATTTTCTCCATTTTGTCCTTTGTTTTTTTGTTTCAAGCTTTGCCCAGTCGAATTTTTGTGGCTTTCCTAGTTTTAGATGGCACCTTTTTCTTTCTGTTTTGGAATATGAATACCGTGTTACGCGAGCGTGTACGGCGTACCTTTTTTTTCTACTCTTTGTCATTTTCTCCTTTCCATAATCAGACTGGAAGCTTTTGGAGGCTGCGTTTTACGAGTATGTAGTGCAAATTTTTGGACCGAATAACAAACAATGAATAATTGCTTTTAATTCCACAAAGTGCACTTTTGTCTGCGACGATTGACACTTCAATTGGGAAAAAAAAACGTGAAAACAAAAGAAAAGAACCGGTAGTTGAAAGTGTTTCTTTTGTACCAGACATGACCGACGTACAGGAAACGCCTCATCACGACATGCCGACCGCCGATCTTGTCATGTGGTGAGGGGACGCATTGGCTGGGACTTTGTCGCGCAATCTGATAAGATGGGAGAGGGGTAGATACGCCCCACACTCGGCTATTTTGGCCATCTGGGCGGGACACCGAAGAAAGGCTCGGGAAAGAGGACGAAATCCGAACCGACAAAACGTCGTTTTGCTAGCCAATATTCTGTACGAAGGCAATGGTAACTAACTAGCCAGCTGAGACTTCAACCACGGAGGTAAAGGAGATAACGTACTGTGTCCTTGCTTGCGCCATGTATTTTCGTCCCAATTGCCTGGCTTATGTTGCAATGCTATTATTTTGTCAGTATTTGTATCCATTTCGACCGTTTTGGTCCGCCCTGCTATGGCTCGGCCGAGCTGTCTGGAGTCCCTTCTTTTGTCACGCTGTATGGCCCTCAACGATGATCGGTTGAGGCTGACGCAACCTGGCTGCGTAGTTAATCCTCAAGTAAGCTCGGGAATAACAAAGCAACTGCAGCATGTCCCAGACACGGTTTGGCATGCGCTGGAGAGGTCTCTGGCTTTTCCTTCCTGCGAGTTCATATTGCTGCCTGTTCTCGCCTATATATACGTGACGTGGAAAACGGAAAGCCGTTCAAAACTCGCCGCCTTCCTCACCGGTAGTATGTATCCACTATTGTCCCGTATTGATGGACGTGTGGTCCTTTTTGCCGTTGGGCCAGGAACGAGGACCCCCAACTCGTGTAATCACCGAGCCGGACCGAGCTGTTCTGAAGCGGTCTTGCCGCCATGAATACCCTTTTGGCCCTTGTTCTCCTCTAGTCCTGCTGGTTCCAATTGCCTCACGGCTTTTTCTTCAAGTTCTCGCATGTAGGAATGGTTTTCGATTTCCAGTGTTCTCTTGTGGTAGAGCTTAGTTGGATGCGGCGCAGAGCTATTTTTCTGTGTGCACGTGGCAAGGTTCAAGATAATATGTAGAGGTGAAAAGTAGCGGGCACAATGCAAGCTTCGCTCTTAACAACATCGACGGGCTAAAAACGATACGGCAACATGGTAGTCCGGGACGGAGATACGGGATTAATTTCGCAATCGCTTTTTTTTTTTTACTGTTCCCTGTCTCGTAACGTTCGCACCGCTAATCAGTGCCTTCCTTGAACTGGTCTTGTCGTTCTTTGCTTCCTTCCCCTGCAGTTTTATTTCCTTTTTCTTTCTTTCCTTATTTTATTACCATTGTCTTAATTCGTTCCTGCCTCTGTCTGCCTCAGCTTGCGCATTTCCAGTTAACAACTCCTTTGCGCTTTGTTACTAGAACCACAATATTTTGTGTGCCGTCCTCTTGCTGCGCCTCCAGACTCCCCGATCTGCCCTTTGCTTCATGTCCTGCCTCTCACCATGTCGTTCGGCTTCCGGTCGCTCATAGACGGCGCCAAGAAGTTCGCAATCAACGGCGCAAACTCGTCCTCTGCACCGATCACGGAGCTCTTTGCTAAGGCCGACCCATCTATTGACGGCGATGACTGCAGCCATGACTGCTCGAGCTGTACCATCCACTACCCGCGCAACTTCAAGATCGATCACGACGACCGGCTCTATGGCTTCGTCAAGGGCTGGAGCACGCACATGATTGTGGCTACCGGAAAGACCGATTGGGTACGCGATGTGGCGGACGAAAAGGGCAGTGTCATGCAAGCTGTCAACGCCGCTTCCAGCCCAACAAACGGGGTAGGTTTTTTTTCCTGGGCGCTTTGATGCGCATTTGGATTACACTTACGTTACGTTTGATCGTTTGCTGACTCTCCTCCTCACATGAACAGCGCATGATGCTCTCGGCCTCCAACATTCCCACACCCAACCACTCCTCCAACTACGCGGACCCCACCCGCGTCCTCCTCCTACCCGCCTTTGTCGTCGTCGACCATGTCACCCCGGCTCTCGTTCCCTCCGTACTCAAGAACCTGGTGAACAAGTCGCCCACTAACGCAACGCCCCTCATCGCCTCGCCGTCGCTCCCGTCCTCGCTGCCCGCGCCCCTCACCTACCACCACAGTCCCCACAGCGTCGTTGTTCTGCTCTGCTCTCAAAAGACCCGCGACGCCCGCTGCGGCCAGTCCGCACCCCTCATCCGCAAAGAGCTTGAGCGCCACCTGCGGCCCCTCGGTCTGTTTCGCGATCTCGACGATGAGCGGCCCGGTGGTGTCGGCATCTACTTTATCTCGCACGTTGGTGGCCACAAGTACAGCGCCAACATGATGGTGTACCGCCGGCCGGACGCCTTTGGCATCGATGCCGTCAAGAGGGGCTCGCTGACCGATGCGGAGCAGGACGCGCTGCCAGCGCGCATCAAGGCGGTCACACCAGCGGTTCTGCGGGGCGCGAAGGCGAAAAGCGCCGGTGACGACAGCGAGCCTGTCGCGGAGGATGAGGCAAACGGGGACGGCGCACTGAACACGTCGGCGGCGGGTGCGTCGCAATGCATCTGGCTGGCACGCGTGACGCCCGAGGACTGCGAGAACATTGTCAAGTACACGATCCTGCAGGGCAAGGTGGTCAAGCCGGAAAGCCAGCTGCGCGGTGGATTCGATCGGGAGAAGGGCTTGCTGAGCTGGTAGAGACAAGGCGGACGAACATGCGATTGAAGATGATCTTTCAGCCCTTTTTTGCTTTGGCGTTACATGGTAGAACAACAAAGTGGCCAGCTAATTATAGGCCTCTTTTCACATTTCGTTTATCTTGTTCTTTGGACTTGCCTAGGAAGATGCGCTTTGATGGAAAAAGTGCATGGTATTTGATGCAGGTGGTCGTCGAAAGGCCCAGACGTGAGTGCAGACGAGTACTAACGTCGTAAAACGACTTGGATAAAAATAGAGGGGCCTGGGCCTCCTTCCTTCTTATCCGAACTTTCGTCATAGCCCGATCCCCCCTCACCGCGAATCGCTAATGCGACGATTTGGGGCCAACACGCCACCCGCCAATCAGAAGACACCCTTCGGCAGCCGTTGCTGGGCCAACTCCCACCGCCATACAAAGTCGACCTCCGTATTTACACGAGCCAAGCTCCTTCCTTTCGGTTGTCTAGACCACAAATGCGCTCGACGATCTGCACCCGCAAAAGAGGAGAAAGAGCAACCGACAAAACCGGCCTTTCCTAATTCGAGTGCAAGTTGCTGAACATCGTCCTTGACATCTTCTTTTGCATTCCTCTCTTCTTTCTTTCGCTCTCTCTCCTTTTCGACATCAGCCTTTCTTTACTTTTTTTCGACACGACCAGTCTTTTTCGTTTTAAACATTTTTTGCCAGAAGCTCGTACGAGTCTTGCTATGGCTTAGATGTCTAAGTGGCAGCCCTTTTGTTTCCAAGCGTTGGACGGCCGTTAGGCTTTTTCAGTCCAGCGACCGTTCTTCGATCCTCTCGTTCAGCTTGTTGCTCGGTTTCTCACGTCAATTGCATCACATCTCCTCCCTATCCACGCGAGCCCTCGTGTGTGTAGCCTGCCGCATACAAAATGGCGTCTGTCAACAGCCAGGGTGTGCCACCGGCTGGCGGCCACCACCAACGGGCCAAGTCATCAGTTCTGCGGTCGTTCATGATGCACCGCCGGAACAACTCCCAAGGCGACAATCTAACTGCAGCAACTTTGGTTCCCAATCAGGGAGGAGGCGGTCCTCTCGAAGAAACCTCACATAACCGCCAACAGCCACAGATGGCTCATGCCGAAAAACACCCCATGTCCCGTGGCAATTCAGCTAGCAGCTACGCAAACGGAAAGTCGACATCCAATGCCTCAAACTCGCCCACAAAGAAGACGAAGATTGCCGGCAACACACCCCCGATTAAGACCAATACGTCCGAGACTACAAACGAGAACGACGCCGACAACACGAATCCACTGTCCCTGTCACCGACAAAGAAGGACCGGGCTCGGTCCACGACGAACCTAGTCGGTCTCCTGTCACGGCCAAAGTCGTTCAAAAACCTGCACAAGATGGCCAAGGACGCCGCAGCAGAAGCGGAAGCTGAGGAAGAGCGTGGCCGTGGCAAAAGCCGCGGCGATGAAAAGAAGCGAAGCAAGTCCCGGTTGAACTTCAAGGACAACCGAGACAAGGAAAACAAGGCTCTGCCGGACCCTGTGACGGACAACGGTATCCCCACTTCAGCCACTCCACCACAGGTAACGCCCATTTACGCCCAGTTCTGCAGCGCAAGCAAAGGAAATGGAAGAGGTGACCTGGCCAGCAAGCCGTTGCCGTCGCTTGATGATACGGCCTTGGCAGGAGCAGTCAACCACCAGGGCCCTGCAACCAGACCACGCCCCAAGTCGTTTCATCCTGTGTCGGCCAGCGTGGGAAATGGAAGCACACCGGTAGCAAGGCCGAAGTTGACGACCGCCTTCTCCAGCACTCGACAGATTCAGCATAATGGGGTTAATACGCCGACCACAGCGACGCCGACAGCCGAAACGCCGTCTTCTATCAATCTCGCCATTGACCCGAACGACGTTGATTCTCACCTCGAAGCTCTTCTCGACCGGCGCAATATCCCCGAGCACCAGCGGTACAAGATGCGTAACTTGGCCAACTCGATCAAGATGGAGCTGATCCGCCAAGACTGGGCCGAAGAACGTTCGAAGCACCAGCTGCAGCAGACTTCAGATCGCCCCGAGAGCCATAACAGCAGCCGGTCCACCAACGATAACGCCGACTCCAAAACTACCACCAACACGCCGACCCCGACCCCGACAGATGATGGCTCCGCCGGCAAATTCACAAAGTCGAAGCACTCACGTGTTAAGAGCCTGACCCTGTCGAAGGTCGCTCGCGGCCGCAGCCGAGACCGGGGAAGCAATGACAGCACCAAACGGTCCAAGAGTCCCGCTGCATGGCCGAAGAAGAAAGCGGAAGGTACGCTGGGTCGCCATCTCCGGTCCAAGTCCACCGAGAGTTTTGTGAATATGGGAACAAGCGGACCAGCAGCAAGCCCAGACACCGCGGCCGCAACGAGCAATCCCATCACAGGCTTTTTTGCAAAGGCAAAACTGCAAAATAGTCCTGGTGACTTTGTGACATATCTCCGCACCGTGCAAGCCCCAGAAAAGATGGAAGTTGGTAAACTGCACAAGCTGAGACTGCTTCTTCGTAACGAGACTGTTACTTGGATTGAGGACTTCATTGGCCAGGGCGGTATGGAAGAGGTTGTTAGCCTGCTGCACCGCATCCTGGCTGTTGAATGGAGGTAAGTTCGGCTGACTGTCTAACCCTCCCTTTTCTCTTCCCGCCGATCCCCGCCTGTGCCTATTGCCAAACACTCGGGTAAAGGAAAGGACACACCCTCTTTGTAGCCCGGAGTGCTTCCCCGTTCTCGTATTGCTGCCAACGGTTTGCTAATGATTGTCACCCCGCAGGGAGGAACACGAAGATGCACTACTACACGAGAATCTTTTGTGTCTCAAGGCACTATGCACCACCGCATTAGCTTTGCAGTACCTTCACTCGATCCACGCAAGCCTGCTGCCGGCGCTGATCCACATGATCTTCGATCCCGAAAAGAAGGGCCCAAGCGAATTTACAACCCGCAACATTGTCACATGGGTGCTTTTCACGTATATCCAAAACGCACCTATTGACGAACGTCCCGCCCGCGCTCAGACTGTACTCGGTTACCTGAGGGACCCAGAGTGCGGCGACGATGAGAAACCAGTCAGCTTTGTGATGGATATGCGCAAGGAGCGGCCCTACCGCGTGTGGTGTAAGGAGGTCGTCAGTGTCACAAAGGAGGTATTCTGGATCTTTCTTCACCATCTGAACGTCGTGTCATTGCCCTCCAGCGCGAAGGACTGCATAGTCCCTGCCCCCAATGGCGACGACGAATTCTTTTCCAGACGTGAGCCAGAAACAACGTCGACTGCATCCACAACAGTGTCCCCGCCGCTGCCTCCTAAACACACTGAGACAGGGCCCTCTTACATGCTTCGCCATTTCCCCCAAGAGCGACCTCCCGTACCGGCTGCCCCGTACGTGGGTGGTGTTGAGTGGGAGGCAACCAACTACCTCGCCTCGCACCTCGATCTTGTCAATGCCATCCTGGCATGCACCCCGACCGCAGCTGAACGCAACCATCTGCGGGGCCTGATGCAAATGTCCGGCTGGGAACGCTGCATGGGCAGCAGTCTTCGCCTCTGCAAGGAGAAGTTCTATGGTGCCGTTCATGATGGCCTACGCGTTTGGGTTGCCGCAGCATACGAGGATGGCTGGGACGTCCGTGATGTTCGCTATGGGCCACCCCCACCGCCGGCCACCCCTACGACGGAGCGTCGCAGCAACTCGCCCAACAAGCGGGCACCAATCGTTGGCGGCCCCAAGGCCGCGGAGCCTGCACCTAAGCTCGAGATACCAAAACTCGACTTCATTCTGGATGGCGAAGGATTTTAAATGAGCCAACCTCTCAGCCGTGGGAGAGCACAGGTTTGCCACGAAATGTGTGCGAAGCACAAAGCATGGGCATGGAGGAACGGGTCTGCGACGGGCCCTCATGATACTCTGATTGGCCAGTAAATTCACAAACTCGAGCAGGAGCGCACAGTTTAAATGGTGGGAGCTGAAGGATCGCCACTGAATCGATCGGCCCTTTGCCGCATGTGCATCTAAGTCTCACCGACGAAGTGGCAAGATGCTGAGTCGCATACTGTGCGGTTGTTCCTCAGTCCATTCTATCCAGTCAGTTGATCCACAACTTTCGGTGGTGTCCCTTTGTTTTGCTGTGAATTTGGCATAGCAAGGGTTTACCGGCGCCATCATTTGCAGAGGTTGTCGGTCCCAGCATTTCCTCTTTTTTTTTCAGAGTGCCATTTTTGGGGTTTCTGGGCTGCTTTAGTAATTTGTTTCGCCTCATACTGTGTCTGCTCTTTACGATGAAATGTTCTAATGATAAATAAAACTACTTTAACTCTCATCTGCTTGTGCCCTGGTCGATTGATCCCCAGTACGGTGTCGTTGATACAGCATTGGCAAGATACTTCTTACTAGGCACCCAAAACAAACAAAAAAAACCCAATGCCAAACATGACCTCTGTATTGTTTGTCACCGTGGGTGCTAAATTATTCTGGCGGTGTTTTCAACTCACATGGAGCAACTGTGCTGCCACTGGCCAAGCGTGCTGGAAAGAAGCTCTAACCACAATGGAAATCTTGGCCTGACGAGTGCAAGGTCAGCCATGCATACACCGAAATACTCACCCCCTGGCCACGGCGAGACCGTGCCAGCGGACCCTAATAATTTTGTAATTCGTCTTGCTCTTATGTGCCTTGGCCTCCTCGACTATGAAAATGTACGTTTCCGTGGGTTCCTTGTCAAGAACTGGCCAAATAAACAGGTCCATAGTATTTGGTTTGAATCCCGCCGCAATAAACGGAGAGAACGACCTACAAATCCAACTTTCTTAGCCCACAACGGCCCGAGAAAGACATTTTGGGGGCCGGGAGCTACCGCTGGTCCAATATTTGCAGTCCATGCGTCCAAACTGTGCGTCGAGACATGCAGCTGTCACCAAAAGATGCATGCAGGGCGCGCCTAGGCTGTGCAGGAGGATGTCTTGAGTGGCTGTAAACGTAGTGGA